TGTATGCCAGCCCTAATATTTAGCTCCAGGGCTTAATTAAGATTTAAGTGTGTTTCAATGTACATTACTTATTAGGCATTTAAGTGAGCTGATAGTCTTAGACAGTGGTTCTTCTCAGCCTTCCTAATGCCGTGACCCTTTAATAAGTTCCTAATGTGGTGACTCCTCACCATAAAATTATTTTTGTTGCTACATCATAACTAATTTTGCTACTGTTATGAATCAGGGGACTCCTGTGAAAAGGTTGTACCACCCCCAAAGGGGCTGTGACCCACAGTTTGAGAACTGCTGGCCTTAGAGATTATTAGAAAAGTTATTCAAACCCTCCAGTTTAATAATAAATTATGCAAATTATTTGGTCAAACAAAGATAAAATTGTACAGTGAACTAACAGATCTGCAGGGCTAGCCTTAATCCCAGCTGCATCAACCCCCTCCCCAGAAGATTGCACTACAGAGGACAAGACTGAAGATACAGCCTGGGGAGAGTGGCAGATCTGCCCAGATCACAGAGGTGCAAACTAAGAGGGAAAGAGAAAGAGAGAGTGGACCACATCCTGGCCCAACAAGCCCCGAGGACAAACAATCCTGCTCAGAGCAGCCAAGATACAGAGAGGACCATAAGGCCGGCCCCACTATGAGACATGATGTCCCCTTGCTGATCCACAGCACTTCAGGAGACAACAGTGGAGACACAGTGTGGGAATTGTGCCCGGTCTGACCCCGCTGCCCATTCCCTCCCAGGGCGAAACATGAAAGGAAGGAAAGCAAAGAATTGAAGTCCCCGAGGAATCCCAAAATAAACTTCAGAGTCAGAGGGCAGGGCTTGGCATCTCATCAGAATCAATTGGAAAACATACATAAAGGTTAGCAGACAGGCCTGGAACTATTTATAGGCCTCCCCCCCCCCATGTGTATCCTGTATAAGATAGGCAAGATAAACAATCCTGAGGAGAAAACAATCGGACTGACGGTTCTGGGGAGACAAGGCAGAGGGTAAGGTGGGAGAAAGGAAGCTAACAAATCCTCGCTGGCGAGGAGAGTGTAGAATGCCTGGTGAATTTTGATCAAGTGCAATGTAGCCGAGAGGAATTACTGAGAGCTGAATGAAGGTTGAGCATGAGAGTGGGACAGGAGGAGAGTAAAAGGAAATAGAGGAAAGAACTTGGGGGCAAAAGACATTTATAGAGGTATAAATAGAGGCATGTCTATATAAAATATATTAATATATAATGATAGGGATCTAGGTTTATGTACATATATTTATATGTTAAGTATCAAGGTAGCAGATGAGCATTTGGACCTCAAGTCCTCCTGCAACACAAAAACTCTTTGTTCTGATACCCCGGCATTCTGTGACACACCTTCTCAACAAGATCACTGAAGTCAAAATGTGTGCAAAAGCAAATGTGGTGAAGAAAGCTGGTGGTGCCTGGCTATAACAAGAGATAGCATCTGGGGTCTTAAAGGCTTGAAGTAAACAAGCAGCCATCTAATAGGGAAGCAACAAAGCCCACATGGAAGAAGCAC